TATACCTTTTTTGTTTTCTGTCATAGTTTTGAAAGTCTAGGAATGTAAAGTTGGAGTTGTTGGTTAGTAGATTAGCCGAGAAAGCATTGATTGTTTCTTAGAATTGCCATTAAAGATCAGTAACCTGAAGAGACTAATTCTTATAAGAGGATAGGGCAGCATTAGAAAAGGCAGTTTTGGGCATTTTTGTTGGAAGAAGAACAGGAGTAGGGAGAGCCCCAGCACTTGGACATTGGGGTATGTTTTTGAAGTGACAAGGAGACCTTTGTCACTGGAGAACAAGTACCAGAAGATTGTGTGGGATGAGACTGCAAAGGTAGTTTGGGGTAAGATCACATAAAGAGCCCAGCATATCAAGCTGCTTTGGACCTTTATTTATAAAGAATAAGGTGAAGTGAAAGTCCAACTTGACTTTAGGAAATGAAAAAAAAAACAAACAAACCACCAAACAAAAGGAAACCCGAATCTCACACAGAAAATGTTCTTTATTAAGTTTCAAAGACATAGGGATATACTTTAGGAGGCATCAGATATCACCTATTTTATTTAAACAAAATGTGCATTGCTGTGAGGTGAGCAGAGGCAGGAATGAGGACTGACCGTGGCCTTTGTGCAGCCCAGTGTGGAGCTTGCAAGAGAAGTTCCCCCAGTGCACTTTCTAGAAATGGCCCACCAGTGTGAAATTATCCATCTCTCTGGTTATCTTCCAGTGAAGGAGTACAGAGTTTATTGTGGTTCCCAGTAAACTAGACGGTGGCAGCTACAAGTGCATGGTTTGAAGTCAGAGAGATCCGGGATTGAATCCTAGTTATGCTCATTAGTAACTGTGTCATCTTGAGCAATGAACTTCACCTCTCTGTGCATCAGTTTCCTCATCTATAAAATGAGAATATTAATACCCCTTTTATAAATTTGTCAGAAGGATTAAATGAAATAATACCTGAAACATCCATATTCCTGGCACATAGAGGGTATAGAGTAACTGTTAGTAATACTACTATTATGATTATTACTATTAATTCTATATTACAATACCAACGATAATTTTGGTATTATCTTTAAAAAGTCTTAACCTCATCATTTCTCTGTACAATTTTTATTCATAAAACACAAACTAAAAATAAATAAAGCAGTCCAAAGCCTGTGGTTTGTGTCATATATTTTTATGTTAGTCCCTTTAAGAAAGCTTTTTTGTTTTTTTGTTTTTGTGTCTCATTGATGAAAACTTCATGCTAATAGCAATGTCTCATGTTGGTATTGGGCCCAGCCACTAGAATTCCAGTGCGGATATTATGTAACACCTCGAGAAATTCCAGAACTTTCTAACCTTAACCTTGGAGCTCTTTGCGAATGGGAACTTTTTCTTATCAGAACTGTGAATCTTTATTGCCCATTCTGAACTTGTCCCAGGTATAGAACATCCATTGATTCTAGTGGAATTTCCACATAGAGAAGGAATGTAGATATATAATAGGCAACAAAAGAGTGTGTTCCCTAAGATGTTAGAAAATAACAGTGTGCATAATAAAGAGATCATGAGAGACTCTTGTTGGGTGAATAATTAATCTCTATGGAGATTAATTGTTAATTATGGATGATAGA